TTTTTTTTTTTTTTTTTCTCTTTTCCTGCTGGCTTCAGCAGAGAGAGTTTCTGCTGGCATCTGCAAGATCTTGCTAAGCTTCTACCAAGATTTTACTTGTTCATGCTCCATTGTCTGGGAAGCTTAGGAAGCCTTACATTTCTGTGGCTCACTGCTGACAACCATGACTATTTGTTAAAATTCTCCTAATCCTAGATAAACATTTGGAAAGGCTTATGAGAATGTAGAACATGTGTCTACACACATGCACGTGATGACACACGGCACATGCATGGTGCGGCAGTGTGTTTGGCTGCCTCTTTGACTCATGATGATGAGAGAACCTGGGATTCAGCCAAGAAGTAGCCAAGTTCTGAGTCGAGAGGAGTTACAAGAGGAAGTGACGAGGCAGCAGCTGAACCCTGAGGGACACAGCCAAACCTTGCCCTTCCTATAGTTCCCTTACGTTGCTGGAGTGCTCTGGAGGAGTCATAAGGGGAATGGAATGGGTTCCCAGAGAATTCTTCTCATGTTTGAGCAATGGAGAACCACAGTGTCCATCTTCACATGATCCATCCTCTCAGGCTTTGCTGTGTGCTGTTTTGGGAGCAGGAGAGACCTGATGGTCTGACCTGATGGTCAGCCCTCAGTCATTCCAGGCTGCACCATACCTAACAGTAAGCTGGAGTAGCTACTTGCTTTATTTTGTTGGGGACCACTTTGTCTTTCCACTTGGCCCAGAATCTCTCAGTTGGCCTAGAAGAAGCAAAAACCAGTTGCATCCTCCTGTCCTTCTCTTCTGTGCTACATCTGCGTCTCCTGAGACACAGAGAATGTAAGCTGGCTCTAAGTCTCTCCTTCTATGGCCTCAGAATTTGAGATCCAGCACCTTGCTACAGATATTTCCTATTCTCTCTCCATCCTAGAAACATTAGGAGATGGGTGGAAGTGCTTTAGAATGAACCATTCCCAACACTTCTCCAAGCTTTGGACTGGAGTCTCTGGTGCCTCCCAGCTGACAGAATTCTTCGGGAAACACGCTATCATTTACCAATTTAGATCATTACCGGGGATGCTGTTGTATTTGAGGGTGTTTTTTTTTTCTGCATGTAGAATCTCAAAGCACAGAAAACCTGAAGGTGTGTTCCAGACGCAGGGAATTTCTGGGTTTCTCCCAAAAACAGGAGTTTCTCCTTCCTCTGCTTGCAGCCGGGCTGGCTGCGACTAGGTGGCAGCACTCCACTGGGCAAACCCGCCGCTGCCTCCAACACCAGCTCTCCATCGCAGCCCACGGAAAAGCCAGCTTGCATATTCCAATTTATAGGAAAACAGAGGGTAAATAAAAGTCACCAAAACCTCCTGAAGTCTCATATCAGGGCCGCGCAGGACAGCTGGAAATCTACAAGGGAACTGCGCCGTTCTTTTGCAACGCAATCCATTACCGCACAAAAAACCGTCCTGGTTTGGACATCAAAAAGGGAAGAAGAAAACCAGAAAAAAAATTTGTAAGAATTTTGTCAAGGTCTCAGACTGTTCCTCCAGACAAAGCTCAGCTGCCTTAGAGGGCCTCACAGTTCCCACATTCACCTGGAACCGGAGCAACTCTGGCACGGCAGATGCAGCACGAATAGCTCAATGAAGCTTTTGGCTTAGTTTTGTCTCGAAAACAATGAGATAACATCGTCTCTCACAAGTCAATTTTATGAGGATCTGTCAGCTCAGTTCCCATCTGTTCTGGAAAATAAGCCTTTTCAGGTTAGGGCAGGATGCGGAGCCAAATACACAGAGCACAGGTTTAAATTAAAGTGCTTGAAGCCCCTTGCTATGCCAGGTAGCAAAGGGAAGGTTTGCATTTGAGCTTCCATGTCAAGCGCGTTTCTGTTTCAAATCTTTTATTAACACAAATCATTTATAAAAGACCAAGTATATACAGCAAAGAGGAAAAGAAGAAAGAAGCAATACACTGTATGAGAATGCAGTCTATGCAGCACTGGGGAAATAGAGCTTGTAGGAAGAAAAGTAGAGATTCATTAAGTTAAAGGTATTCACTGATAACTACAAAATGTGAATGAAGCCTGGTAGGAGAAAGGAAGGCCCTGTCTGATGTAGAAAATGAGAATCAGAGCGTTAGAGTGACATGATACAGGCAAGAGATCCACAAGCTGATTTCTCACAGGTTCTGAGCTGAGCATTAGAGTTTGTGCAGACTGGGTTATCCACTCTGGCCTGACTTTTTATGTATATAGATACCTAAACTGCCATTGCTACCAAACATCCAACACTTGGAATTGCACCCTGCGCTACACGGCATTGAAAAGCAAATGTGTCTAACATTGAAGTCAATAGACCCGGGGCAGCTTCAACAGCCACATCCTGGGCTCCGGTCACCAGTGTCCCGGCTTCCCCTTGGAGATGTCTGCTCAGAGCTGCCACCCCCTCCTGGGAGCTGAGCACTGAGCCTTACCTTGCAGCCCTTGAAGAGAGCAAGAGACCTTAAGTGGCAGCATTTGCACCAAAATTGCCAAGGTATTAACATTGATTTCTTTCGATAATGGTGACATAACCATAGCCTTATTTCATTGCCCCCCTCTGAATCCTAAGTGCTTCACTAATGAAGAAATATCAGCTCCTGCCCATCCTCTGCTGCTGTCGATGGTGAAGAAAACAAAACTTGTCTCCTTAGGTATTGTTCTACTATTCTCATATTCAACTATTACTTGTATTCACAAAAATACAAAAAGCTTTTCATTGATCAATTACTAAAAGAGTCAGGAGTGATCTATTACTTCAGACTCTGCTATACAGAAAAAGGATTCTTGTGATTTTTCCTCAAGTGCATCTCTCAGCCCCGTTTGCAACAGGGATCCAACAGGAGGGAAGCTGTCTGGGTAGAGCAATGCATTCCCTCTGCCCCAGGAACTTCTGCTCACATTTACTTGAGTTGGGAAGAGTTAAGGATTGTCACATCCTCTCATCCTTTTTTTTTTTTTTTTTGGTTTTTCATTTGTATTCCTCATAAAATGTTGGCAGTTTGCTGAAATCACTGAACATAACAAAGCCAGCCTAACGGCACTCTCTGCCAAAGCAGCAGCTGCAGGTATTGGATAGAGGACACCTCTGAACTTCCCAAATGAGCTTTGGTAAGAACGTGCATCTGGATGGAGGATGGAAGAGGGGAGAGCTGGCTTCCCACCCCCAGTCCTACCATCACATCCTTCCCTGGGGGTAACATCTAACTTGAGAGTTTTTCCAGCTCACGCTGCTCTCCTAAACCCATTCTCTCCCAAAGGCAAACGCAGCACCAAAACGCCTCTTTCTTTGCTTCCAAGAGAAAGTGAGGGAAATATTTTCCTGACTCGCCGCGGTGATTGATGTCTGTGCTGCACTGGTGATCGCTTGAGCTTTCAAACCCCGCTGTGCATGGAAGTCTACTGTGTCATTCTGAGCCAGACCCACAGAAAAAAAACCCCGAGGAGGTACTGGAAACTACCCTGGTCTACTTAATGGATGTCTGTGAAACTGTGACATCAGAGCAGCGGCACAAACCTTTGGTGGGGGGCTAGTGAGGGTGAGCAACATGCTGCCACCAGAGCTGCATCACAGCCCAGGTACCAGGTACTCCAGTACCATTAGGTGCCAGTGCTACCCTGACATCTGAGACCTGGCCACCAGGCAAGCAGCCTTGCTCATCTTCCATAGATCTGAGCTTTAGGGAGCTCCCAGCACTAGAAACAGGCTCATTGCCCTCCCTGGAGCTAAGAAGAGCTGTTGGTGTGTGGGGCTGGGAATGCGTTTTGCTTTCAGAGAAGGAAGAGCCCTGAATGAGAGGTGGGTCAGGAGTAGAGGGATGAAAAAAGGGGGAAGGAGAAAGAGAGGGGTCTCCAAACATCAAATTGCTTGTGGCTCTGAACCCTCTGCCATGGGGCAAGGTTCTCTACAGACACATCCCCACCCAGTAGCAAGATCAGGTTGCCTCAGTAGAGGTTTGTAAGGAAAGAGGTGGGTAGACATCTCTGTCCCTTCTCCTTAAAAAGAACTGCTTGACCAAAAATTTGAACCTAAGAGAAGCTGTTGTAGGCATCACGATACTTCTTTGTTACCTGTCACGAAAGATTCAGATGGTATCACACATCACTAGCTTGGCCCCGTAGTTTCCACCCCATGTTCTGACATGCTGACTGCATTAGCATCGTCTGTTGTACTAATAATGTCTTTTACAGCAGAACTCCCCGTGGGGGAAAGAAATCTTTGAAGCTACCCATTCAAATCTTCAAAGAAGGACCTTGAAGAGCGCTCACGGAGAGAGTGTGGGAAAGTTTGGAAGAGGGGATAACGCTATAAAGCTGCCTTTCCCCTTTTTCCATCCCTACTTGTACCACTGTTGTGTTCCCACTTTTTGCAGTTATGTAAAGCTCCCCAAGTGCTGAAGAAAGTTCATCCATTCTCCCATCCTGTTGGAAATGTCTACCAGTTTCTCTAAAAAGCCATGAACCAGAAGTAGACCTGTGGATAAACAATAAGGATTGCAGCCTCGACCCCTGGCAATGAAGAGATTGGGTTGGGGGGGAAATGGGGAGCGGGGGCTGCATGCTCCTCTAGCATACACTTTTAGGCATGTTTTTTCAAGGCAAATGCCTAACCTTTGCTAACACACACCATTCTCAGCAGTTTGTAAGCCAAATGCCAAACCTTTGCTAGTGTTACAGAGCAAAAGTCCCTAGGAAATGTCAATGATTCTGCTGAAGAATGTGGTAAAAGCTGGCAGATTTTAGTTGCGGAATCATACTATTTAGAGAAATAATAAATCACTCAGGGCATGTTGAGCAGACACTTTTTCTTTCGTTTCCGCTGCGACATATTCCACAACCCACACAGCCATTAAGTCACTGGGTTTTTACAGGAACTCATTTGCTAAAAGCAAAAAAATTCCATCAAAACCAGATGACACAAAGCTGTGAGCACATCCTGTGGCTGCTCGTTACTGACCCTGATTAAGAGCGGTGCACAGCTCTCCGCGCCTCCTTCTAGATGGAAACGGCTGAGTTCTATTACGTTTATTACTTAGCTCAAGATTATCTGCAATATGTGCTTCAGGAGTCACATCTTGGACCAGCGCAAACCAGGGTTGCTCACGTCTTGCGAAACATTGCATCTTCGCTGCAAGATCAAACCGAGGAGGCTCTCAGACCGTTCCTGGACAAGATTGATATTACCTCGGTAGCTGTTGCCAAGAGAATTTTCAATGGTGTCATGGAAGAAAAATTTGCTGACGGAAATACTAACTGGGGACGAATTATGACCATATTTACGTTTGGAGGTCTTCTCACTAAGAAGCTTCAAGAGCATGGAGTCCAGCTGACTGCAGAGGAGAAAGAGCAGATTTCTTATTTCATCACAGAGTACATAATAAACAACAAAGCCGAATGGATAGATGCGAATGGTGGCTGGGTAAGTTTCCCATTTTCCACCAAAGTCTAGATTAGGAGATTGTATTTAATTAAGAGAAACTATTGTAACAGACACTATCAAAAACATTTTATTTGGGGGTTTATTTGGTCCTTTAATATTTGATGTCTAGAATGTCTCCTTGAGACTTAGAGTGAAAGCTTTGCTTCTGCTTTAAATAGAACAATGCTAAAAGAGAACTCTCCTTTTAAAAAGGCACTTGCTGTACCTGTAATAGTCAAAATCCTAGAGTTGGTCTTGAACAGTAGGATCATACAATAATTCAGATTAAGAGGGAGCTTAGGAAATCATCTGGTCCAGCCTCCTGCTCAAAGCAGGTTAAACTAGCATGCCATTTAATTTGCCATTATTAAATATAAAATTAAGTGGCATCCTAAGGGAGTTGGTCCAAAAATACTGAAGTCCAAGGTAAAAGAAAAATACACAGATGAGATCCTTGCCACTGAAGTCAGTTCTTCTGCTGTGGATTTCAACAAAGTCATTATTTAATCCCCCAAATCAGTTTTACTTAAATAAATTTGCAGATAAGTGCAACTGTGGTTAAATCTTTTCTGTTTATTTGGACTGGGATAATCCTAGAGCTTCCAGAAATCAGTGGTCAATGCTGAGAAAAGCATCTGTCAATATGTGGATTATTTTGGCAAGCTGCTGAAATTCCCTTCTGCCAGTGCAGGGGATGTCCCTTTTGCTTTGCAAAGTTTCATCACGCCAATAGTTCTTTCTTTTGCCGTTAGGGGAAGCTGAGAATCAATGACATCAGAGCCAGCTATTTCCTTGGTACTTTTTTCCTTTACCTATACGTAAATGTTACTTTCTCTTTCCACCCCTCCCCTGTACCACTTCTCTTATACTCCCTATTTGCTATTACTTTTTTTCTTCACTTGTTTTCTAGTGCCTTACTTTTCCTTTTTTTATTTTTGTTTGTTTTGCTCCTTCTCTGTCTGGTAGCAGTTAAAAGGTGAGAGTGAGTCATGGACCCTTGATGCATCAGATTTATTGTACAGGCTTCTCTCTCCACCTCTTTCAAATCAAGCCAATTTTATTTAAGAGAAGTATCAACTGCTGGCAACATCCTGTCATAATACGTGGCTCATCATAGTAGAATAAGGAGGCTTAAAGGAAGATATTTATAAGTATATTGCTAGATCAGAAACACAGCACTTGTATCTTCCTTGAAGATGTGGGCTCAGATGATACAGTTCATGTTCATTTTGTATTTACACAAGGAGGGCAGAGTCTTGACCTGAAGATAAAACAAGCATTCGGCAAGATGCAGCTATTTTCAGCTACTGTTTTTAAATCCCTATTCATCTTTTGGAGGTAGAACTCTGAAAACCTGCCCTTCCGCACATAATGCTGTAGTGCTCTGTTAATCTGATACCAGCAGAGAATAGTGTGATTCTTCTACACGTTATTTTAAAGGTGTCCCTAACTGTGCCTGCTCTTTTCCATAGGAAAATGGCTTCCTAACAAAGTTTGAAAGAAGATCACTACTGTCTTTCTCCAAAATTACAGCCATGTTCCTGGCTGTTTTTTCCTTGTTCAGAGAGTACTACTGAGACACATGGACCTGCCATTCATGTATAATCTATATATTGCCACAAGCTTCATTGCTAAGCTCTCCTCCAAGCAATATCAACAAGAAAATAATTTTGTTCCATCATTTTAATTTATTTGTATTTATTTTGACTAAATACAATGTTAAACATGCTACCCTAATTGCCAAACCTGAAGATGAGATCCCTCCAAAGAGGAATCGACACAGCAGCAATTCAAGTCACCCTTTCCAGGCAGGACTGCGTCCAGAGAGGGATCATTCTCCTCATCCAGACAGCTCTTGGAATCTCTGTTGCACCTCCATGAAAGGACATGGTTTTACTGAAATACAATCCAATGGGTTAGGAAACAAGTTTTAATGTCATTTGTTTTGTAAATGAAATAATACTGTAATGCATTTTATTGCAAGGTTTTTATAAGCAAAAGGCGGAAGGGGGGGTGGGGTGGGTGGGAGGGATTCTGTGAAGAAAAATGAATTGCAAATTCCAGTGGAAAAGTGGGCACAGGTTACTGACACAGACCAAGCAATTGTTATGGGAAGCACAATGTGTGGAAGGTAACAATTTAAAAACGTGTGCTCACTCACTCTAAATGCAATGGTATGGGTTTCTTTGTCGTATTTTTGAATTGCTTATATCTACACTGAATGTTCTTTCTAATTTGTATAACGTCATCTGGCTGGACTTTTTTTTAAACTAGATGTTTTAAAGTAGGCAACTACAAAATGTTTTTTAGAATGAGAAATTTGTGTAAATACACTAAGATTTTTTAAAAAGATATTAAAATATATATTTTAAAGTCTTATGATTGGCCTCATTCCTTTGGAGGATGGGAAAAGGTCTGCCTGAGTAAGAGAACTCTTAGAAAAGCTATCACAGCGCTACTGGAGAATCCAAGTAGTACATGGGTTTGACCTGAAGTCCATAGATGTCAAGACCTTAATTTTCTGTAATACTTCTTAATTATTATGCGGTAGCTTGTATAAGAAGCAGACAGCTTATGGCAAAATAAATGAACTGGATCAGCTCTGATGACAGTAATTAGTGTTTTGGGATACACCGCAAAACCCGGCAAATTCACAAGTAGGACCTAACAGACTTCCAGGCTTTTATAGTCTGGGGCAACTATTGTTTTGACTCAAAATTCCATTTGCTTTCAAAGGTTAAACAGTAGTTCTTCAAGAACTCATTCTAGAAGGGTTTTCTTTAGCTGTAGTGACTCTCCTTCAATAGGGAACTCAGGCTGGCTCTAAGCACTCTTCTTCTTTAGTAGACGTGTTGGAGATGAACCAAGCTGAGGCAACGGTTGGACGTGGCACAGAACAGCATCGTTCTCCGAGAAAAAACCTCTAGACAACCAAGGCTTTAGGATACTGGGAGAAGGAAGCAGCCTCTTTCTGGTAATGGGATCTCGATCTTTCACCTCAATGTAAGATTTTTTTTACAGTAAGAACAATCATTAACTGGAACAACCTCTCCATCACTGGAGGTTTTCAAGATGCAATTGGCAGGGTGCTAGATAGTTTCATCTAGGCTCCCTTTCCCATGGGACCAGGAGATCTTTTGAGGTCCCTTCCAACCCGGGCTGTTCTGTGATTCTATGATCTAACATGGTGGGTTAAGCTACAGAATACAAGCAGATGTTGAAGCTTGCTAAAACCTGTATTGCTCCCTTTCTCTTTGCTTTTCCCTTTCCCTTTCCCTCTCCCTCTCCCTCTCCCTTTCCCTTTCCCCAGCAAAACCAAGAAAGATTATTTAGCAGGTATAGCAGATCTTTTAAGATAAACTTTGTTGCTGAAGACGGCAGCATCCTGAGGGCAAGGGGCAGCTAAAGGAAAATGCCCAACTCCAGAACACCTATGGAAGTTCCTGTCAGAAATGACATTTTAAAATAAATTTTGACATTTATTTATTTATTTATTTGCAGTCTAAGTCTTCACGATAAGAACAGCAGTTCTTACTCAGTTCCTTTTTGTGTGCTACTGTAAGCGCATATCATAGTGGCTAACTCCAGTCTATTAATACCACATTCACTTCCTTTTACACTAATCTAGTAACCTATTTCATACTGGGGAGTACAAAATTTTAATTAATTATAAAAGAATAACCTAGCCTTTTCAAAATCGAGGTGATACAATAATTTTAGAACTTGCCTTCATGGCAAGGCCTGGGTTTAAACAAAAGAAGCCTGGATCATTAATGGTTCAGTGTGGTCCCAATTATCTTCACCAGGACAAAACCTCCGTTTGCTCTGCATTTAAGAGCAAGAAAAGCAGTGATGAAACCTACCACCTGGGTTCTAAACATAATAAAACGTCTGAAAACAACAGGGCTGTTAGCTAAGCCTTATACAATAGTATAGATATGCTTTGTTAGTTGTCATGGAGTTATCTATCCATGGCACCTAACAGTGTCCCAGGTCCCAGGGCACCACTGTTCAAGGGACCCTTACAGCTGTCAGGCGATGCACAGGAGAACACAACACTGTTCCTAGAGCTACAGTCGAGGTCAAAGAGCTGCAGAGGGGGACAACTGATGACTTCATCAATGCACACAGTAGCTAAATTGAGATGTCATCAAGTGCCACGGAGAGCAGATTTATGAAAGCAACTACTCTCCTAAGTAAACATCCAGTTTTGCACTTAAGGGCGCGTCGGATCATTAAATGTGCCAAAATGCAGCCTCCAAGGTCTCCCTTCAGACGTGGCTCGGAGGAATAGCACGCCTTCCCCGTGGGCTGCCAGGCCGATAGCATCCCTAGCCCCAGGCCTGTGCCACAGGGGCCACGGCCTTCCTTCCCCACAGCCCCTCTGCGCCCGGGCCCAGCGGCAGGCACCCATAGTGATATGAAACTGATTGGTTATGGTGATAAAATATCCCGCCGAAATGTAATTTCCCTTTCTACAACAAAATCAGGAAAGGGGAAACCCTTTGTAATTCACTCCGGACAAGAAAAATAATGCCGGGGTTGGCAGGGCCCAGGCTGGCCCTCCGGCCCCCTCAGGGGTGGCGGTGGCCGAAGCCCGGCACAGATGGCGGCCGCCCAAGCCTCAGAGCAGCGGCCCCGCGGCCGGCTGACCCCCGGCCGCCCCCGGGAGCCCTGCCCGGCTGCAC